TGTTTTTTGACTCAGGTTCCATTTTTTCCTTAGTATTTCAGCACAGGATTGTTCATTTCTATAAACCAAAAAGAAATTTATAAGGTTTACTGTTTTTCAGACAATGTATTTTATCATATCCCCATCAGACGCTCGTCAGATATTTGTCATCTTTACCCCATCATCTTTAATCTCTCTCTCTCTCTCTCTCTCTCTCTCTCTCCTCCCCTTCTCCTTCCTCTCTTGTGTGTGTGTGTGTGTGTCTCCCTGATTTGTGTAAGCCTCCCTCAATTACTAGACCATGGGGCAAAAACTTTCAAAGGCACAGACAGATACAAATCCCCTAAACTTCTTTTGTTCACTGTTTCCCTAGTCTATTTTTTGTGTTGGATTTAAAGTCAACTGCAGACTGCTCCAGGAACTAGCTGCAGGTTTTCTCTCAAAAATCTGTATTTTGGGAGAAGTTTAAATTGGCTCATGCCAGGTGGCTCTCCCTTATAAATTGCTCCAACTAATATCCACATATCTCTAGCCCTAGAAGTTTCCTCAGAGCCTGGTCAGCCGGGACAGGCCCAGCATTCCAACTCCTTTTGTCCCACCCAGTGGTTGGAACTCATCCACCCAACAGTCTTCCTGTTGGAGTCTCAGGTGCTGCATGCAGATAGGGAGGGGAGCTCTTGTCTTTTGTGTGGTTTGAAGATCACGGCTCAGCTTTCCTGGCTCTGGGAAGAAGACCTCAGTGGTTTTCAACCTTATTATTTTATTTTATTCATGAATGACTCCCAAATAAATACCCAATGACCTTTATCTGGGCTTTTGTGGACTCTATTACAATTGACCATTACACCACCCAACAAAGATGCCTCAGTGTCTGCAGGAAGTAATTACAGAGAAGATTACACATAGCTCCTAATCATTTGTTTGTTGACAATAAAATCTGGGATTTTAGGTTTCAAACCTGGGGCAAATGGCTGAGGTTTCAATTTGAAATATCACCTCAGAAAAAGGCCACCAGATTCCCCTGATTCCCCAGTCCCTACCTGCTATAGGGTCCTCCTGGCTGGCTTCCAGTGAATGGTCTTCCCTCCCCTAGATGCTGGTCTCTGTAAAATCCAAATGTTTTAGTTACCTGGTCCTTATCATGAATCATTTGGGCCTCTTGGTTGCTTCACCACGGTCTACTCTCTCCTCTCCCCTTCTCTATACCCCGCTCCTCACAAGGGTTGATTCTGGTGTGGCCTCTCCTCCACTGTGACTTCCCTAATCCAGGCACTGTCCTAACTGGATACCACTGAGTCTTTGCCTGAATCTCATGAGGAAAAATCATCACCAATACTGCAGACCTCACTCAGCATTTGATCCTGTGTCATCACCAGAGTCATTTCTGCTAAAGTTATGTGTGACTACAAAAAAACACAATTGTGCTTGTTTTGTATTTTCTTAGGCGTAAGACCTACTGTGAAATGTGTTTAATACAGCCAGTGACAATCCACTGAAGTACATTATTTTTCCTTTGCATGTAAGTACCAATTGCAGATAGTTTCTTCTTTAAAATTGAATATCCATGTCAATTTCCCCCTATTAGCATTAGAATCTCATGTGGCTTGAACCTCTACAAGACCTAAAATTACTTCTAGCCTAGTGAGTTCATGTGTGCATCGGTCCTGTTGTGTCTGAAAGAGACTCTATCCTTGGACTCATTGAGCACATGTGGGTCTTAAAACATATTTCTATTCCTGAATCACTCCCTGAGTCTCTAGTCGAAAGTTTGTTTAAAATCACATGTTTATGACTGAGTGCACACATATCCTCCATGCTCTATACATTGTCCATTTGAGAGTCTCCATGACACCTGCCATGTGTTGCAAGAAGAAACTTCACTAATGTTAGTTGTGTGAGGCACAGATTAATGTGCAGATATTGACATACCATTCAGAATTATTTTATAGTTATAATTCTTTAGAACAGTTGTCCTCAAACTTCCAATTGCTGCAGCCTTTTAATACAGAGCTTCATGTTGTGGTGACCACCTGGAATTTAAATTATTTTATTGGTATTTCTAATTATAATTTTACATAATGAAGCATGATGTAAATATCTGACATCCAAGACATCTGATATGTGAACGTTTTAAAAGAGTCCTATGACCCTGTGAAAGAGTTGTTCAATCCCTAACTTGGTTGACACACAGGTTGAAAATCACTGCTATAGCAGAACATGTGTGATTTTGTCATAATCCCATGGCCTACCTTGTCAAAGATTCTAGAATATTCTAGTATTTTCAGGCATGGGCTCCATTCACAGACTGGGTGTTAATTTTAATCTCATCAGCAGGTCACCATTGTAGGTCACAGTGATCTGTTAGGGTGATTCTCCTCTAGAGCATGCAAAGTACCTTCTACTGCTATGAACTGTAGTCAGTAGGGCTGCGGTTTGTGGAGAGCAACCAGTTACCTGAGGTCATAGCTTGAGATATTTTATGGTTTCCATGGAGTCACTTTGGCCAATGACTCATTTTGTAAAAGTTTATCTAGAAATGTCAGATTCCCCACATCCAGGAGTTTACTGAACATGAATGTTACAATAATTCAGCATCTGTTGCCCTGTGAGTTTGAGGCCTAAGACTGAGTGGAACAACCCTGATCTACCTGGATCAGCGACCAGAAACCCTTATTCTTTAAAAACCCAACAGACAGATTCTCATTTCTGAATAATTTTTAAAGCTGACCTCATTTGTATAACAGGAAGCCAGGGATCTGAAACTCAGAGTAAACATTGTGATCTCCGAGCACAGTAGTATGTGGCAGTATCTGCAGTGTCCACACTGGTGATCTCGAGGGTTACCCGGTTGTTGGAGGTGTCCTTGGAGATTGTGAGCCAGCTCTTCAGGGACGGGTTGTACCTCTTGTTATCATCCCAATAAATGATTGCAAGGTCCTCGAGACCCTTGCCTGAGGGATGGCAGACCCAGCCCACACCCATACCAGAAGTGCTCAGTGAAAACCCAGAGAAAGAGCAGGTTAGAGTGAGGTCCTGGGAAGGAGGGAACACTCCAGGGCCAGACTCCTTCAGGCTAACCTGGGACAGGACATCTGGGGGGGAAAAAGTAGAAGGTAAGGTTGGCACAGAGTGAATTATGGGAGTTCATGCAGTAGAAATCCATGGCACTCACATGCAGGCACAATCAGCAGCAGGAATGAGGAGGCAAACAGGGCCATGAGTGCACACCAGTGAATGCCCAGGCCCAGCCGTGACTTTTCAACCTATGCTTGGGTGGAGCCAGGAGAGATTTGCATTCCCTCACCAGGAGCTGACTCTGATGGAGGAATTAAATTATGGGTCTCAGGAGGAGACAATCTGTGATGGTGATCCCTTTCCTTAATTAAAAAAACCCTATGCTGAAACCTGTGGCGTGGCGTGTTTCTCTCAGGGGCCACTTTTCTAACTGACAACATCAGAGAGTTCACATCTGCATCAATCCTGTTGTGTCTGGAAAGCATTGTCTTCTTGGTGTCCTCCATTTCCTCAGGAATTCATCATCTGTGAGCATCCTCTTTTGCAGGGCTCCCTAAGATCTGTGGGAACAGATTTGAAGGAGACATCACATTGAATGTTCCAAGATCTCTCAGTCTCTGCACATTCTCAAGTCAGTCCCTGTATTTATGAATATTTCAGGAAGTTCTCTGATGATGGGTGATTTATGGATATTTGCAGAATGTCGTTGGAGTCATTTGATTGCTAGTTCTTTAGGATAACAAAATACTTGTTTTTTTCTCTAAGTATCATTTGTTAATCTTTGGTTCTTCGCCACCATAGTGTCAGGATTGCTTCCATCTCGTGGTGTAGACCTTAAATGTAATCCATATATTGGTTGGTTCATACCTCAAGTTTTTGGAAAATATTGTATCTACATGTCCTATAGCCATGTCAGGATTGTACATCTAAGGGTTTATAACCATTGTACCATATTTTCTTCTTCTGTTTTTCTACTGACATCATCTACAATGTTTTTAATTCTGTCTATTATGACTAGAACAGCAATGACTATGGCTGAGCAAGTGTCTCTAGTAAGATGTGGAGTCCTTTGGGTTTATAGCCAAGGGTGGTGATTTTGAATGGTGGGATAGATCTATTCCCAGCCTCCTGTGGAAAAGCCACACTGATTCCCACATGGCTGTACACAGTGGGTGACTTTGCAGTCTGAGGTGTTTGGACTTTAAAATGACTCCCCCAGCAGACACCAGATAAGTCTTAAAGTCATGTCTTTACAGACACTAACAGATGCCTTCCTGGTACATCAGAGAATTCCATTGAGTTGGGGACCAGGAGTGGAAGAATCTTCTGCCTTCTGATCATTCCCGGTGCCCCAGTTGGAGGAAGAGAGGAGAGTACTTTATACAATCTTTGCTGTGTCAAGTAGTATTTTTAAATTCAGCATGGATTTGCATAACCTCTAATTGGCCTGGGGATTCATGTCTGCCACAAAGCATTAAGCACATATTTCTCCCATGTTAAGGACATGGAACTTGTACTTGTCATGGGGGGTGATGGGGGAGGTCCTTCTGTATATATGTTTGTCTTATTGGTTGACAAATTATGCACTATTGGCCAATAGTGAAGCAAGTTAGGCGGACTAGGAGAGAAGGAGGATTCTGGGCAACATTTTAAAGAAGAGAGTCACGATGTTATCTCAGGAAGAGCAGACTCATAAGGCAAGCATCCTAGGTAAGATTAAGTCCTTATAAAAATATAGATATTAGTAGTTATGGTTGATAATTAAGACTGAGAGAGCAAATAAGAAATCCTAGTCATTGGGCAGAAGCATTGTAACTAATAAAGGACTCTGTGTGTTATTTGGGGGTCCTAAGCAACAGCAAAACCCAGCAAGTTGGCGTTAAGAGTTATCGTTACTGGGGGGTATACAATACAGGGACATGTAAATTAATGTTATGAGATATGGGACATCACACTGAATCCAATACTTGAGATGACTAAGTACCCTTGGTCTCCATGCTTGTTACTCACACACTAGTTGAAAACCAAATACTCCATAGCATGAGGACGAGGAGCTGGTATCCAATGACTGAAGAGTTGATACCATAGCAATGTATGTCCATGCTTTGTAGAGACTTGGTACTGTAGAGCTGGGTACTTGGAGTGGAAATGCAATAACTATGGCAGCCGAGACTAAGGTATAATATCAGAACCTGCCTCCAATAGCATGACATGCCTCCAGTTGATAAAAGTGACCTGTGAACATAATTTAATAATGCATGTGTCCAATTTATAGGAATCATACTAACAAGGCAGTGCATTCTGATATAAATATGTCTTTCATTCTAAGGTATGGGAACTTGTGCAGGGCCACATGGTCAGAGTCAACAACATACCTTGGGATCACTGAAGACTTAAGACTATGAAAGAAGTTTTTATTTGCACAGATGTTGGTGATTTGGAATTGACAGGTCAACTGTGTTATACTTTATTCTCTGCTCTTGCTCCAAAACTTCTCATCACGCAAAAATCCTATATATTGTCTGTAGGGGAACCTGTAGCCACACCTGCGAGGGCATGGTCAGGGTGACATAGAGTTAGAGTTTCAGTTTGCTGGGTTTTGCTTTCAGTTTTCACTGTTCCATCTGGCTAGGTCGCTCTGTAAGTGAGGCTTTTCCCTATCAAATACCCTTACATTTCTACCTGACTCCATATTGGTAATTTCCCACTTTAATTGTCATCGTAATTCATCATCACAGTTTTGTAATTTATTAAAGAAAAACTGTGTCAGCTGGACATTGGTGGCACACGCCTTTAATCACAGCACACAGGAGGTAGAGGCAGGCCTCTGTGACTTCGAAGCCAGCCTTGTCTACAGAGGTAGTGCCAGGAAAGGCTTCAAAGACACACAGAGAAACCCTGTCTCGAGACCCCCCACCCCCAAAAAACAAAAGAAAAGAAAAGAAAAACTGTGTCATTGCAGGCAGTCAGTGGTGAAGATTTCCTAAGGATATGGTGTACTCTTGAGGATTCTAATCAAAACCACTTTGTACTCAGATGTCCTTTGAAAAGTTGGAAAAAGTAATAAATGCCTTTGAAGAGGAAGCAAACAGAGAAACTCTGATTGCTTATTTCTGCACAAGTCCCCAGGCTGATCTTCTCTGTATGTCAGTCCCAGGGCAGCTCCCTGTTCCTCCAGGGTTTCTGACACACTCAGGATGTGGTTGCAAAAATGTCCATAGCACAGTAATAGACAGCAGAGTCCTCAGATGTCAGGCTGCGGAGCTCCATGTAGGCTGTGCTGGAGGATGTGTCTGCAGTTATTGTGGCCTTGCCCTGGAACTTCTGATTGTAGTCAGTATCACCATTTTCAGGATCAATATCTCCAACCCACTCCAGTCCCTGTCCAGGCCTCTGCTTCACCCAGCTAACATAGTAGTCAGTTAAGGTGATGCCAGAAGCTTCACAGGACAGCTTCACTGAGAATCCAGGCTTCACGAGCTGAGGACCAGACTGCTGCAGCTCAACCTGAGAGTAGACACCTGTGGAGAAAAGGCAGAGTGGATATCTTTGTCTCCTCAGTCCCTGTTGCTTCTTCAGCAGTGGAACTGGAAATCCCCTTACCTGTGGTTAGTGACATAGAGAAGATGAAGATCCAGCTCCATCCCATGGTGAGGACCTGTGTGCTCAGTGACTGTGGAGAGGACACTGCTCATATGTTGTTGGTGGTGTGGACATCCCTGTATTTACCACTATAGACTCACCTAATTTACATATTCATGAGCAGGGTAGTTCTTAGATAAGGCCTATTCCTGGTGGAGAAGAAGACAGAGGAAACCTGTGTCAGGCAGCAGGATCTTGAGGTTCAAGTCCTAATCCTCTCAGAGCATATGTACAGCATCCTTCTTCCCTGGGCTCTCTGCAGATGCTAAGGAAGTAACATCAGGACCTAAGATCTCAATAGATTTCAGGCCTGAG